CCCATCTTCTCTACTACTTCGTACAGATTGTTTATTTTTCAGTTAGTGCTTCTTTTAGGTGACGACAATGACATGGATATTGGTTCAAATTCGTCATGTGTAAAGTGGTACCAAAAGGAGATTTGGCAACTCACCAAACTTCCCTATTATGAAGATCTCGAAAGACAAGCGAATAAGACTATCGCTAGCATAAAGGTATGTCGACAACTACCGAAGTGCAAAGGTACAAAAGAAAGCTGGACACAGTTTGACGCAGGGGGGGTGCATTTTGCACTATGGCTGCTTTACTAGTCCCGGTTCACAAGACTCACTTTGGTGAAACTTGTGAACTTTATTGAATTCTGGGACAAGTTGGTCGGGTCACCATGGCAGAACCCAATTCTTGTAAGCTCACGAAAAGACTCTAGATCGGTGATAAGTAGCAGAAGTGCGAAATGCCCCCCTCCTCGTCACCGAACTTGAATGTGAGCTTTTATTTGGAAGTGCGTTCACATTTCGCAAATTGTTCGCTCTAATCGCGTGACGAAATCGCTCACGCGATTAGACGACTGAAGCGTGAAGTGAGAAAGTAGTGTTAGGCGCGCACAGTCCACTTCAGTTTGTCGCTGATTACGACAAAGTTTGATTCTGAGTTGTGAGATGCGTTCATACTTGCGGCAGCATTTTGAGCGTTTTTCAGCGTTTTGAGCGTCTTGACCGACTAAGAAAGTGTAGGTATCGATTAACGGCCAAAACGCTAACAACGCTCAAAACGCTGCCGAAAAGTATGAACTCACTCCGAGACGATGACTCTGCTGAATACACTTTTCTTCCACTTTCAGGCTGGGTTGTCGCACGCGATACTTCTGAATGATCCAGTCACTGGTCTTATGCACTGGGTACCAGAACTGGAGCGGTATGTTGGTACAATTGTATGATTTAAAGCAGCGCCCGCGTTCAATTTGATGTGTAATGGGGCTCAGACAGTGACAACAAGGTGGAAAGTAGTTCATTAGTGAAGAAAAATGCAGAAAAATCATCGGATATGTCCTATATAGGACCCCACGCGAGCTGAGGTTGTACGTGCTCAAGGCGAAGAGAAGGCGCGGCCGCACGAGTTCTCACTTGTTGGTATCAGCTGTTTTTCCTTATCACCTCCTCACCATTCGAAGTGGAGAGAGTTAGGGCGCTGTTTATCGACGGGGGGGGGCATTTTGTATTATAATTGCTTCCCTGGTTCCGGTTTACAAATCTCACTCTGGTAAAACTTGTGAAGCTGGAACAAGATCGTCTAGCTGCCTGAAACGTGTCAACTCGAAAAGGGTTGGCAAGTCTAAGAAAAGCCGAATGCCCTCCCCCCGTCGATAAACAGCCCCTGAAATAGTAGCAGAACAACCGCACCATCAGGCAACCATTAGAAATGAAGTTGGGCGTAGTGGTCGCCAGGTGGGCGGGGTGGCCGACTCTTCACGAGCGGGCGCCGCTATTCTCTCGCATTTTTGAGTTGCGAAACTAGTACGTCCACCATCCTCATAGGGTGAGCTACGATATCCAGAGAGGGCGTGGGAACAACAAATGAACGCGGGCGCTGCCTTTAATTGCTTTTTCCTTAATGGTTTCTTGTAATTACACTGCGATTGCTTATGAATTCAGGTACATCGATTATCATGGTCGTCGTTTGAGTAAAGATGATCATATTCTATTCGTTCGACTACTGAATTGCTCGATCAAAAAAGGCAATACGTTCAGGGATGTGAAAATTGCAATGCATTGTCTCAATAAGTTACTCGGGTAAGTGGGTCTGGTGCTCATTTTCTTGGAAAGTTCGTGATGTGGGTCTTAGTCCTCTGCATTCCAAGGGTTATACCGTTGCTTGACCTCTTTTATATTTCTTCGTGGTACTCTACGAGGTGTACTCTTGTTTTATTAGGAATCGACAAAGCGTCCTCTTTCTTACAAATGTTTACAATGTGCTTCACATCACCTTGTCCAAAGTACTTTTGTGTTATTTTCGCTAATTTAGTTTGATTTATTCAGGAAGCGCGACTTCTTGCTTCGTGGTGATCTGGAAATCGATTGGAGACCGCTATTCGATTTATACGTAGAAGTTTCCTACAAGAATTTGGAGGTGTGTCGCACTTTCTCTAAAGCCTCGTTCAGACTTCGCGATGGGATCGCTCGATTGGTTCGCGCGACGACGACTGGAGGCGCTGCACCGCCAAATGGTGCATCTCCGCAACGGCTCAATACAAATTAGCACTGTGCAAACGCGAACCCAAATTTAATTTTGCCGTTGAGGCAGTGGAGCACTCCCGGTAACGGTCGCGCGGGGTATATGGCAAGAGAATAGTATTTCATCGCACCAGTGGGCGTCGCGTGCGACGTCGCGCCTGCTAATGACGACGATTTCAGGTGGTATTGGTCAAGAATAGGCAAGTGTATGACCAAAAATAGACATAAGTATCTACCATGTCCTTGTCTACATGAAATCCGATGCTCCATCGAAAGGGTAGTGCAAATTAAGGAACGTCGCGCCCATCGCCGCGCGCGACGAAGCGGCAATTTACGATTCTCTTGCCCGTCTCCCCGGTCGCGCAATCCCCTCGCGTAGTCTGCACGCCGTCTGAGACAGCGTTCTTTCTTCGCATGCACAGAATTGGTGCATTGAGGAATGCGGTTGGGCTTATTGTCCATTCCACTGGTTTACGCATCGGATCCGCCAAACTCTTGGCTTACTACAGGATGGTATATTCCTCATGCCAGATGGGTTCCGGTCGGAGCTGCAAGCTTATATATCACATGCACGACGGTATTTCACAGATAATGCAACACAGCAGCTGCTTGATGAGGTAACT